TTTTCCTTTCCTTTCTTCTCCTTTTTCCTTTTTCTCCTTTTCCCTTTTCTTTTTCCTTTCCCCTTTCCTCTTTCATTTTTCCTTTTCTTTCCTTTTCCCTTTTCCTTTTCTTTCCTTTTCCCTTTCCTTTTTCCTCACCTTTTTCCTTCCTTCTTTTTCCTTTCCTATTTTCCCTTTTCCCCCCAGTTTGCCCTGCAGCTCTGGTTTTGGGGTCCTCACTCCTTTTCCCATCATTTCTTTTGTTCCCAAAGCTCTGGCACAGGCAGCTCAGCCTGGACTGACCACTGGCCCACCTGATAAATGATAAATGACTGATAAATGATAAATGACTGATAAATGATAAATGACTGATCTCTTCCAAAGATTTCACATCAACAGCTGGAGCTGCCACCTGTGCCTTGATGTCAGTGGCAGGGAAATACAGGAGGAATAAACAGGATTTAAGCAGTGCCAGTTAATCTGTTGTCATTTAAATTATCAGAAATGAAAGCTTTCCTCAACCTATACTTACTAATTTTTTTACCACTTCTCTGCCCGTTTCTGTCCTCATATTTTGTGTCTGGAGGGGTCTTTTAAAGTCTTTATTTTGACTGATTTTTAGCAGCAATGGGGGAACTAAGCTGGATGAAATAAGAGATGGCTTGAACCTTCAAGTGCAGAAAAAAAAAATGGGAAAATCATCTGTACTTTAACACAAGAAACAAAGGGCTTGAGAATAGGTTCTAAGCAAACCATACCTGAGAGTAAAAATATCTTTGCAATTCCATATGCCAAAATAACTCACAAAGGCATTTTGGAGGTCAAAAGCTGTTTTCTTATGGCACTCCTTGGAATAAAAAAGGGAATTCTAGTGACAGATAACAGCAGTTTCATTTAGCAGAGTGCCCTTGGCAGAATGCTCTGCTGCTGTAGCCTCAGGCCACAGAAATTCCCTGATTTTTTGTTGATAGGTGTGGACTGATCTCATCTGTTGGGGCTTGAGCTTTTGTAAAAATGAAATTAAAAAACCTTTCCTAAACACTCAGGGTTTCCTTCTTCCTTTCCATTTGCAAAGCAAAACTTAAAATAAATACACAGACGCAATTTAAAAAAATAAATATATCTATAACTCAAGGTAGCCAGATAAAGGAAAGGTCTGTTCTCTGTCAGAAGAGCATTAGGGAGCCACAAGCAACCACAGTTTAAAAAGTGACATTTCAATTGTCCTTCCAGTGGCTAATAACTTTACAGATTAATGTGGGGAAATGTATGGAAAAATCCATAAACATACCTACTACACCTCAAGGTTTGAGATTATTTGGTAAGAAACTTCCAAATATCCATATTCCCCAAAACAGTTTAAAGATTTTTTTTTTTTTTTAAGAAGACCTTTCTATATTGAAATTGTTGGAATTATGAATGGCAAAAGGAAATGGCAGGAATTTTCTGTTGGCTAAATAATATATGTATGTAAGTATTGAGACCATTTTTTAATCTGACTAAACAAATTTTTTAAAATTCAAGATTAATTCAAGTATTTGATGAATAAAATTCAATCTTTGAATAAAAAAATAAATAAATCTCAAAGAAAGAAGCGTATTCTGCACTTTGCACACCTTCTCAAAGGCTGCTCCTGACAGGAACATTGTGTCTCCCAACAATCAGAGAGCTCTTCTTGCTTGGGATGCAAATATATTCTCCCAAATTAAAAGAACTTTCACCAAGCTACCACATCCATGCTCCCACTACCAGCAATGGATTTGCATCAATTCTTGCAGAGCAGTTGTTGTGCTAAAATCTTATTTTTTATCCTTTCACCATTTCCCTTTTGTAGAATGTCATTGTTTCCTTTGGCTTCTCTCTATTATGGGTGTCTGATATATTATTATCTACCTGCCCTGCCTTTCAGCTGCAATAAAATTGTCTGTACTCTTTGTGTTTTATTCCATTTTCTCCTTTAGGTTTTATCCAACAACAGCCTTTTTGTCCCAAAAGCTTTCCCAGCTCACATTCATAACTTGATGAATATTTACCAACATATAGACCAACATATTTTTTATTTTCTTTCCTCTGGGAAAAGGGAGTGAATGTTTTGTGCTTTTCTGTGACATCTCTTCCTTTGCTTCAAGGTTTGCCACCACATCCTGCCACACTCTGTGCAAATGCACCAAACCACAGCCAGAACAGCACTAAAAACTCCTCCTGGAATTCCAGATATTCACCCAGCACAGGCAAAAGGAGCCTTTAATCCCTCAGCATCCATCAAGCAGCAAATAAAAAGTCGGTGCTAGATGCTCACAGTAACAGCTCCAGCTGGGACTTTTCCACTGGTGCTGAAAATCCCTCATCTAAACCCTAATTGTGGTGTCTTCTTAATCAGGCACATCACACCCAGCCAGCAGGAATCACACCCAGCCAGGAAATGAAAAGAAGAAAAACTTTTCTAATTAAAACTGGAATTATGAAAGCGAGAGCCGCACAGAGAAGTTCAAATCCGCGGTTTTGGTGTTTGGAGTCTCTGTTTCATCACTGCTCCTTGATGTCCAAGATCAATCTGCTCCAGCTCCAAGTGCCATCAAAGCATTCCCAAAATGCAGATTTTGCTCTCAGAGTGAGAGTTTTTGCAGTCCCCAGCACAGCTCACAGGCAAAAATGTACTAAGGCTGATTTTATTTCCATGTGGAAACAGGAATAATGAGCAGAAAGGTTTGCTGGAGAACAGCTTCACACAAACAGCAGAAAAGTTGTTCTGAAGCTAAAGGGATGCAAAATCAGCTCACCCAGCAACTTAATCTTGGAAAGCAGTAAAAAGAGCTATATTTAATGATGCTATTGTTCAGTTGGAATAATTTGTGTTTAATTTCTCAGGGAAATTCAAATCTTTTATGCCAAGCACTGATATTATTCCCTTTTTATATTTTTATCAATGGTTCAATTGCCCCTTAATCAAAAGACAATGCAAGAGGGAATATTTCTCATTCAGCAGAGCATCTTGACTAATTTTATGGTCCCATATGTGATCCCTCTGAACAGAAGTTCACACAAAGAGCAATTTACAGCACACACGTAGCTGGAGAGCTAAAAATAGAATATGCAAAACTCAGTCTTGGCAGCAGAACCCTTACAATGCCCTTTGGGTTTCAGCTGATATTCACAATTTGATTAAACATGCTCAAAGAATGAGTGCACGAGCGTGCATTCCCTATTAGCAGGAAGGAAAATAATTCTGTATATTTATCCTGGAAACAACTCCCTCAGGTATTTTTTTACTGCATTTATTTGAGATGCAAAACGGGCTATGGAACAATATCTTGTGTCTCAAAGTTCAGCTTCAGCTTGTTATAAACTGTGAATAAAATGAAATCCCCTGAGGTTGGAGCTGTGGCTCTCGTGCAGTCCAGACTGCAAAGCTTTAGCTCATAAACCTAAAAGATCACCGTTAATTTTGAACAGATAAGTTCCAGCAGTCACTGATCTGCATCCAGAGGATTTCACCCCTTTATCAGTTTAGAATCAGCCCCTGTGCAAAGCTAAAAAAGCACTGAAATGGTGAAATATTGACTCTTTTTAATAGGCACAGAGAACTAATTCCAACAAGGAGCAATGAAACCAAGTTGGAGTAAGGAAAAAAAATAAAAATTATATTAAGACCATTTTAGAGCTAGTATTTACAGAAATGTTTCTGTAAACCACAAGAAAAAAACAGATTATTAAACCTAATGTTGCAGATGGGGAAAGTCTGGTGATTTCCCATTTGCTCTGGGATTCAGGGGGGTGATCTGGTGTGGAAGCTGAGCAGAAACACTTTGGTACCAGCTTTGGTCTCAAAATGAACAGCAAAATATAAACCTCTGTCTAAGCCTCTGCCAGTCACACCTGACTGAAAACCCAACCAATTCCCCGGGAATGAGGAGAATTCTGCTGGCACTGGCAACATTCTCCCAAAGCCTCCCCTAAGTCACACTCCATGCCTTGTCTCCCTCCTGGGTATTCAGGGTTTTTCATTCTCCAGGAGGAAGCACCTAAGCTGACTAAGGCTGTAACAACATTTAAATAACCAAGGAGTATTTTCCTCTCTCCAGCAATCAAATCTTCCATTGATTTGTGAGAGCAGGAATTACCCAGCAACAGCAAACTGCTCTTGCTGCTTTAGAAGAGCACAAAGGAAATTAAAGGAGCTGCTGCCATAAAATATCCACTCTGAGTTACCACACAGTATTTGTTTTCTCTGATTGTGTTTTAAAAGACCTCTTTCAAAACAAACATGAAGTACATGCTTGACTTTATTCTGCAGCTCAGCACAGACCTATAAAAAGGACAATACATATATTCATAAACCAAAAAGAAAAAAAATCTATTTGTTCAGCAACGTTAACATTCAGCTTGACCTTTCAAAGAACAAATCTATTGGAATTGCAAAAATTTTCAGCCTCTTAATTAGCTCTGTACAGAAGAATCCAATGCCACAAGCAAACAGGGTATTTCCATTCTGGCCTCCTGTACAGAGTGAATAAAATACTTCAGGATGTAACTCACTCGAAATCAGAATGAATACAAGTCATTAACCTTGTTTATTTAACCAATCCAATTTGTGCTCTTGGAGCATTAATTGAAATTTCTTAGACACACAAAGGTCATTTTGCACATCTGAAGGCTGAGTGAATACCAGATGTGTTACCACACATTTGTGTTCCCAAATTTATTTGCACCACAACGGGGCCACCCCAATCTAATAACAGCAGGAGTTTTTTAAATGTCTCATGGTCTTGTACTCTTAAACAAATCCCTGTCCTTGAAAAAAAAACCCAATAAAATATGCAGCTTTTAGAGCACCTGTTCTCATTTTGAGGATGTCAACAGTCATGCTGAATTCATTATGAAGTTCATTATGAAGCTAATGCTTCATAATCAACAACAAGACGTTAAGGAATTAACACTTCTCAAAAATGAAAATAAACAAAAATTACACCTCCTTCTGCCAGGCCTCACTTAACTGCCCAGAGCAGAGCCCAGGTACTCACCAGGATTTTGGTGGTGTAAGCACTGTTGATAGCAATGGCATTGACCAGCAGCTCCATGGTTTTGGCAGGGATGGAGTCGGGCTCGGGGATCTCCTTGTAGTGCACGTCGCCCACGTATGCCTGCACCACCGTCATGCGGTTGGTGGTCAGCGTGCCCGTCTTGTCCGAGCAGATGGCCGTGGCGTTGCCCATGGTCTCACAGGCGTCCAGGTGCCTCACCAGGTTGTTGTCCCTCATCATTTTCTGGGGGGAAAAGGCACCAAAAGCCGGGTAAGGAACCCTTTGTGGTCGGCGTGGCCGAAGCGGCGCACGGCCGGGCTCGCTGGGCAGGACGCGACGCTCCCCAGGCCACGGCTTTGGTGGGGGGCAACAACCCCAACCCCAGTTACAGACAACCGAGCTTTATCCCTGAGATAAACTAAAAGAGTTGCAGCATTTTGCTGCAGTAGCTTTGCATTTTAAGGAATAGCTGGAACTGCAAAGATGAACCAGAGATAACGGCGTTTTTTTAAACATTATCGTTACAGCAAACGTTTGGGGTTTTTTCTTAACACTGCTTTTTCTTAATACTTGCTTAACACTTTTCTTAACACTGATAATATGCCAGGATATTATCTGGCAGCACGCAGATGGACCACACATTTTGGGGAATGGGGAAAAAAAAAGCATGTCAGAGGAAGGACATCAGGAGAATGAGAAAACGTTTTTAAAGCAGCTACATTCTTTCTTAGCAAAACCCCATTTTGAGACTTTCTTCTTTTTCCTAATAGTTGTGGTATTTGGCTACATAGAAGACAAGAGGTTCCTTCCTAAACTTTTCTTTAACTTCCTAAGTTACTTTGTTTACATGTCAAATGGAAATAAACTTTACACCATCCTCATGTAAGATTCTCAAAATGTTTAAATCATCTGATTAAATTGTTCAAGCAATCCCCAAGTCCAGGATGTCAATCCTCTTTAATTTCCTAATAGAACCACTTACACTGACTTCAAAGAACTGCAACTACATTTAAGAAAAGTACATGAAAGCTTCAGTGAAACTCTTAATTTCTTTGAGAACCTCCAATTTCTCTGAGAAGTGTTCCTGACAACTTCAAATCCTTGTCAAAACTTTGTACAATTGCACGAGGAAATTTGAATACAAAATTATTTTATATCAAAAGACTGGACTATTTTCAGAGCACATTCTGCTCAATAAATTCCTCCTTCCTTGGAAATTAAGTAGGTTTTTCTACTGCTTGATATTCCTGCACTGTGCAGTTTTAAGGAGGTACGTTGGAAGATGTATTTGCATTTTTTGTTAGAAATACTTTCAATATAAGTTTTCTTTAAAGCAATTTCATGAACATTTTGAGCACATAATTTTCAGACCATTTTTCATCCCATCTGATAAAACCTGAGAAGCAACTCAGCAGAGAGCTCAAGCACACAGAACTTTTCTCCCTGAATTATTTTGAATGTCTCTTACCTTCACAGAATAAGCCAGAGAAATAGTGACAGCAAGTGGGAGTCCCTCAGGAACAGCAACCACGAGCACAGTAACACCAATAATGAAGAATTTAACAAAATACTGAACGTAGACAGGAGTGCACTCAGGCAACCACTGCTTCTTGTTGACCACAAAGGTGTCAATGGCAAAATACAGTACCAAGATGATGACAGTGATGGCAGACATCACCAGACCTGGGAGGAGAAATCACCAGTTACCATAAACCCAAACACCACTGAGAACACGAGCAATTAGAAATTGGGGTTTGACAGGTAATTATTTCTTTCTTTGTGACATTTTTCACCGGTACCAATAACAATGATAAACTGTACAATGAAGAAAAAAACGTTGCCATACTATATTTACAGCAATCATACATTCCAGTGCACCAGAAATTCTAGGGAATTCATTTTGAAGCACTTACTGCTGCCTTTAAAGCTTCCCAGGCAGTGCAGGAGTTCTGCTGTCACTTAAGCTAAGTTTATTCAATTTGGCACATTACTTTGCCTGGTACAACATTTATCCGTCCTTTTAACCCCCACCTTTTACAAATTACTTGTCTATCCATATTTAAACACCTTTCTTCTAAATCAGGATGTCTTTAGAGGCTTGAGCAAAGGAGTCTCCCATAGTTTATGCTGCTGTATAAAATACTGTAGAAAAGCCCTACAGATGTGTCTGGGTGAATAGAAAGAGGCAATAATACAGAATTACCCACAGGACATCTTTTCACTGGGTGTGTTTAAATGTGACTAATACTGCTGTTTCCAAAGTGTCCCTTTTCAAAGGAACATCTGCAGAGTGTGTATTTTCATGAGCAGAGGTTCCAAAGAGACAGAGACACCAATAAATATTCCACAGAATTGACAAAATATCCCAAGCATTCCATCCACTCTCCCCATGGCACAGACTGCTGGGATAGCAGTCCTGCTCCACAGTTGTGTCCCTGGGTTTGAGTACACAAATAAAATTTCCATTATAGCCTCAGCTTTGCCTTGCTCTGAGCAGCTCTGTCTGGCAGGTTTGTGTGCAGCATTTAAACCTGCATTTTGGAATAAATTAATTTTTCCCTAATGAGATCACACAGTAGAAGGAGAATGCTGTGAATTTCATGTCTTGATTGCAGTTTTAAAAAAAATTGGTAAAGCTGAAGGATGCTAAGGTTGACAGGAAACAGATGAGTCAGGGAGATCATTCTGAGCCAGAGGATAAAGGAAAACCCATTAAAATATTGTACAGGCAAATACTCCTGACAACACAAGACATCCCTATAGATTGCTCAAAGCCAAAGAAAAACCAAATGAGGCAATGATTAATTAATTTAATTCCCGTTCCTTGCCACATTCTGGTCAGAAATCTCTACACAATTACTTTAAGGGTAATGTTCACGTGCCTGCCAAAATCCCAAAGAGGGCAGAAGTCGAGGCAGTGCAGAAAGATATTTAATCCAAGGAATTAATCATCAGGGGAAACAAAGGAGAGAAGCTGGAGGAATATGAACTGGGGCAAGGCATTAAATTGGATATCAGGGGTGATTATCCCAGCCCCTGTTCAGGCAAAGGGAATTGGCATCAGGGGGTTATGGCATCAGCTCCTGTGCTCAACTTTAAAAGGGATGGGAAGGGGAAAAACCAGACTGGGGATGAAGGCTGAGGGAGGAAGAACAGAAGTAAAAGGATCTTGCAGGGCTTCAAGCAAGGAGCTGAGATCAAAATCTCTTTAACACCATGAGAAAAAACAAACCTAAGGAACTTTAGGCCCTTGTGGAAGATTTCCACTCTCTACCTACATGTTGGAAAAGTGCTGCTTCCAGCACCAGATGGTTCTGGATACAGGAGTCAGAAGATGTGTCATGCTTGGGGAGAAGGCAGGAACACGGATATTTGGGGAGAATAGAATGATTTCAGAATCCATGAGAGGGAAATACCGTGTGAGTGGTATTTTGAGATGGTATTAGAGATTCTGAAACTGTGTACTCCCAAGTTCTGAGGGGAGAGGAAATTAAATACATAATTACTGCACTCGGGAATATTAACTCTGAGAAAAGCTGCATTTCATTTTGATTCAAATATTCATTACAATCCAAGTTGCCCAAAGCTCCTTGACAGTCAAAGCTGATTTTTGGGAGAATAAAAGATCTTCAGCACCACATACTCTCCTCAGAACAGCTTTGTGATGACCCAGTTCCAAATTTTGCAGTAAAAAAGGCGTGTCCCCTTTCAGAACCATTTGCTCTTTGCCTCCTGTGACCCAGAGGGCTTTGGTGTCACCCAGCCATACCTGCTTTGCCAATCTGCACTGCCAGCTTGGTCAGCTTTCCCTGAAGGACGGATTTTTCTTTCTTGTGCATGTTGGATTTCTTCTTGTCCTTGTCGTCTCCCTCTCCCCCTTCTGCGCTCTTCAGGGGCTGCATCTCCATGGCAGCAGCCCCGTCCTGCTGCTTGGCTGATAATCAGAACAAAACTGTTACTCCAGAGCTTCATCCCTCCCTTTTCTCCATGCTCATCCTCTCTGGATGCAGCCAGCATCACAGGGGCTGGCTGGCACCGTCTGTGCCAGGACACCCTGGGCTCCTGTGCCACCAGTGGGGCTCTGCAGGGCACAGCTGTGCCACCACATCCCTCGGGACACCGGGGCATTTGGGCAGGAAAACCATTGGATTGGGTTTATCCCTCGTTCTTACCCCCACCCACGACACCCTGGGCCATACACATTTATGTCACTGAATGTCTTGCAGGTGACTTGGCAGGTGACAGCATCAGCACTGCAGGATTCCCTGGAACAGCAGAGCTCAGGTGCTCTGACACATCCGTGTTTCTGTGAATTTTGGGATGTCTCTTAGAATGCAACACCCCCTCATAACCATATTTCCAGTGCAAACATTCTGAAGGCAATGTGGCTGCACGGATGGCCCATGTGTCACCTCCCTGGGCTGCAGGGGCACCTCGGTGACCAGGACACCTCACTCTGCCATCAAGTGTTCCAGAAAATCCCTGGGTTATAAAACTTCCCCAGCATTCCGTGACGGAGTAACTCAACCCTCGGGTCTGGTGGTGGTGGCATCACCATTCCCCAAAAAAACCACACAGGGGCTCAGGGCTGATCCCTCCTTTCCTGCCAGAATGCCAACCCAAGGAAGCTTTATTTTTATGTGTTTCTGAGAGGCAAAGACATTGCAGTGGATATATGTGCATGTGTCTGGCTTGTACTGAGCACAATAAATAAAATAGGATGAGATGAAACAGCTTTGCTTTCGTGAAGAGATTGTACAAGACCATGCTTGTTTGACCTGGAAATCTAATTTATCTACCTAGCCTGAATGCTTATTATTTAATAGCATTTTATGTGGCACTTCTGTACCATGAACCACTGAGTTTCTCTATCCAGTTTCTGAGCCATCACCTTGGCAATGTTCAGTATTATCAGAGAAGAGAAGATTATCGTTTCATTTGGTATAACCCAAAGAATTCTTGATAGCTGTGTCTTATAATGAAAAGGGAAAGCAAAATATTGATTTCAATTTCTCCCTGACATTGTATATTAAATAAGAAACTTCTATGAGTCTCAATCTTCCTGTTGTTTATCCTTATAAAAGGCTTTTACACTGCTAGAAAACACCTTGGCTTAAAGGTTTCCTTTTTTTATTGCCTTGCCTTTTCCCTGCAAATGAAGAGATGTCCAGACAATGCCATCAGACACCAGAGATGATGAGACATAAAAAAAAAACTGGGCTGGAAAATCACTAACAGTACATAGGATACACAACTGACACAGGAAAAATTAATTCAAATGAGCTTTGTGAGACGAAAGCAACATCTATAAATGGTTCATTTAAAACACTCCTCTCCTAAATGCCTGCAGCTTGTGGAAGTTTCATTCTCTCTGCTGGGTTTGTGGCTGGGGTTGGTTGTTTGGGGTTGTTTTGGACATTGTGCATGAACAAGAAGGGCCAGTCTCACACACAGGCACAGAGGACAGGCTCTCACTGCACTTGGGGACAGGACTGAACTACATGCTAACAATACAATCCACAACCTCCTGAATAGGAAAGAGCATTACCTTTGTTCTGGTTGTTCTCCATATTCCCATCCTGCATCTTGCCTAAATGATGAAAAATTCCAACAGACAACAGACAGTAAACAACCTTCAGCCGAGACAGAACACGAAAAATGGGATTTTCTATCAATGGAGACAAAAGCCATGAGCACATCACGGGCACCTCCCCTGCCCTCACACCTGCACTCACTGAGGGGCCAACCCAGCTGGGCACATCCAAGGAATTCCAGCCAAGCCCAGGGCTGGTACGCCTTCAATCAGAAATATCAGCACTTTTTTTTTGAGGCATCTGCATAAATTTGCAGAGGGGGAAACTAATAAAGTGGATCTGGTGGAAAGATGAATTGGAATAATATTCCTGAGCTGGTGTTTCACAGGGTTGGGACTTAAAAACTCTGGCACACACCAGTATAGAGTATGACTTTCTTAATGTATTCCAGAATTAAATTAATCATGTTACCAAATTGAGAAAAAAATAGAAACGATAGTGTAAATAAATCGAAATAAATAAATAAATAAATATGCACATCAGCTTTTTAAATTTCATCTTCCTCACTTGGTTGTACTTTTCAGCAAATTTCTTTTGGAAATACAAGTGCCAAGTGACCTAAATTCAGATTTATCCTGAACACAGATTTACCAAGTGCCTCTTTAATTTCCAGCTTGACATTTTATCCACAAACAGTTTTACCACAGCAAGGTCCTTATTCTTTTGTGCCTTTTTTAAACTGGAAATGTCATTTGAAAGTGTGTATGAGATAAAAATAGCAAAATGGACAAATCACATAGAAAACTTTGGTATCCAGAATAGCAACTAATTATTTTCTAATGTATTCAAAATTTCTTGGTGGGATCCCTTACGAAACTTTCACAGTAATTATATGAATTTATGGCAAAGACTTCAACAAATATTATTTCAGAATGGATGACAGTGTCTTTTGGTAGTTAGATAAAATGCACAAAAAAAAATAACGCTAAGGAAAATTAAGTTAAAACACTATTACAGGATTGTGGACACATTCTAATAAGAAATATCATCAGAATTTATTCAAAAATGTGCCAGCAGGTACATCTTGTTCCTCTGACTGCTATGTGGATTCACTTTTTCACTCTGCTGTGAATAAATAATAACAAAATGGAAAAGCTAAGATGCATCTCTTGCCTGTTGGTTTTTGCACTAAGTGGGAGAGCAAAAGTGACCAACTCAGTCCTGTGTTTGTCAGGAATCAGAAACAGGTCCCAGAGTCACCCTGGGACATTCCAAAGGCCAGAAGCAGAGCCAGGGACAGGACATGACCTGAAATCAGCTCTGAGCTCAGGTGAATTACTGCAGCACACCACTGGCCATTAGCTGCTTGGCCATATTTCCAATCCTATTGCCACCCTGGCAATAACAGGACTTTCAAAAATCCAGAATCCACCTTCCAGAGCTTTACACTTTGCACTAGAGATGAATCCATGAAGCTGAGCAAAACCAAGCTCATTTTCCCAGTGAAATTCCCTAGAAAACCTTTGCCTGTGGGGCACAGTTGGACTCAATACCTGCCTGGTGGCTGTTTTTCTTAGAAGGGCTTTTAATAAAGTTACTGGAAGACATAAAATATCTCTGGAGATTGGGATTTCTGGCTGGAGCATGCAGCCTTCCCTAAGAACTGGAAGGCATTAATTTAGAGCAGGCAGTCTGCTCCATTTCCTGCTCTAGAGATCCTTTTGCTGAGTGCAATTCCAAACCTTGGATGGCAAAAAATTGAACAGTATTCAACTTTCAAAAAAGATAAAAATCACCAACAAAACCCAAACGTGACTGTCCCAACTGGCAAACACATCATAGAGATTATTTTCCTTTGTAAATCAAAACATGTACTTTTAGGACATGTATTTGCTATTTAATGGCATAATTATCATAATAAATTACACTAACAATTGACTGGCTACCTGAAAATAGCAGTACACAACACAAACAATCATTAACAACAGTTTAAACTCAGGTATTTAAAAAAATACATTCTCAATATTCCTAATTATTGCATTCAGGTTATTGAGTGGGGGAAGTCATCACAGGGAGTTACAGTTCAGTTATTTAGACAGAATAACAGAGAAAAGGTAATTTGGGTAATCAAGATGAAGAAAAGGAAGCTGAAAACGATTTATATCCTCCTGTAGCAAATAATTTTCAGGCTGCACTTTGCTATAAAATATGAACAAGGAAATGAAGGCAGAAAGAAAGGTGATAGAATCACCACTGCTGAGAGATCCTTCCTCCTTCCAGGTACAAATATATCCTTTGCTCCTGGGTGCATTGCTTAGAATCATCAAAAGGATGAGTATTTGTCAATATTTTGCTAGTAAAATGTAAAATAATTCTTTTAAAATATAATATTTTTTAACATAATTCTGAAAATATTTTCTTCTTTTCTGTTTGGAATAATAAATAAAATAAATGTTGTTTGGGCTGGAGAAATCCAGCTGAGTTTATCACTTTTCTAAGAAAGGATGAAAAATCTGAAAATTTAGAATAGCATTTCTAACACCACCTGCATTCTGCAGCTGATTGGAAAGTTCTGAATTTAAATATAAATATTTTTCACATGCTTTTGCCTCGCTACAATTCCTATATTTTGGAAAGGACTCGTGGCACTTTCACTGACTAAATTCTTCCTATAAAAGTCACAGACTTGACCAAATAAAATTCCCAAGAAAAGCCTCCTCTTTACCTGCTGCAGCCCTGGAGGAAGAGCCAAGGACACAGAATAACAAAGTCCTAGCACTATTTTGGAAATTATTTCCCTCATTTGGAAATTATTTCTAAATTGGAAAAAGTTCTTGGAATCAACCAAAGAAAATAATGGAATTTTGTTCCAAGTGCTGAGAGGGAACCACTCTATTAAAAAGGAAGTTTTAGATAATCCTTCTATCCATTCAATAAGTAATTTCAGAAATATATTAAAATGTAAATAAAATGTATTAAAATAGAAAAATAATATTTTTTAAGTTCAAACTGCAAATTGCTTTGCAGGAGCTGAAGTAGCTCAGTACCTACACAGGGATTGGCTGTAGATGTAAAATATTCCAGCAGAGATTTCTCTCAGTCTGGTAAGACATTTCTATATTTTTTATATTTTCTGAACACACATTTAAGTAGCAAATTCTCTAGGTTACAAATGCTAAAAAAATCTCAACAACCCACCCTGGAAATCCTGATTTAGGAAGGTGGCAGTGCTCTACTGGAAGGAAATCAAATTTGGGGTAATTTGAGCTACTAGAAGGAAATCAAATTTGGGGTAAACAAGCTGTAAACAGTGATTGCTGCTTCCCTGATTTTCATTTTTTAAAATTACCTTTACTAAATATAATACTTTGGAATGAGATGAATTTTCCTGAATTACTACCTTTCTGCAAAATTGCCTTAACTGGCAACCTTTCAAAAACTGAACATATTGTCCATAGCTCTGACAATGAGATCAGCAACAATTCTCTATTTTGATCTCAACTCCTGAAAATCAATGGAATTTATGAGAGTTCCTTTTGTACAGCACATAACACACAGGCTGGGTCACAAAGTAAATGAATTTATCACTACAGGCTCACTGGCTGAAAGAAAACCACCTTTTTCTTTTGTGTCAATTGTGTATTGACAATTAAGAATAAAAATACTTTATCTGAAATGTAGTTGGTTGATTTTCAACCAATAGCATTTCCTAAACTTGCTACTTATTCAAATATATAATTATTTTTTCTTATTTTAAGGTATTTTCTTCACAAGGGTATTAGACTTTAGGTAAAATTCTTGTTTCAATTCAGGAAGAATTTTCAGATTTTAAGAAAATATTCATTTTATCCAGACCAAAGGAATATATAGATGAATTTAGGCTCCTTGCTTTGTAATTTGTCCTCTCCTTCCTTTCTCCCCTCCAAACCATATCTACATTTTAAGTGTTTAACTCACCAGCAATGCTAAGTGAGAAATCATCAGAAATCTGGCATTGGCCATTTCCCAGCTAACTGAGACCTGGGTCTGCCTGTGTGAGTTCCCCTCTGAGCAGCTGGATTGTGGAAAGCCTCTCCAGGACCAGAATTACTGAACTGCCTCATCTCAGAGGAGCTAAAATCCAAAACTTCCTTAACTGCACCAAAAATCCACTCCACACTGCAAAGCCCCGAGTTTGTGTGTCTCAGCTCCAGGATAAACACGGCCACTAACTCTGTTCCCGACTGGAGAGAGGATGATGGAAAATCACATCCCTAATTCCGACACTGATCTAATATCCCCTGGAAGTCAATTTCCTCATTAAGCTCAGCATTAAGGCCAAGCCCAGCAGGGATTGAGCAGGCAGCCCCGGGCTGAGCACCAGCAGAGAGGGGCTGAGCTCTGCTCCCAGCCCTCCTCTGCAGCTGCCAGGGATGAGCTGAGGATCCAGGGGGATGCAGGGGAGTTTGTTTGTTCCTTGTACACTCACCGAAATGGAATTATCACAGAATCACAGAATGGTTTGAGTTAAAATAAACCTCAAAGCCCATCCAGTGCCAGCCCTGCCATGGCAGGGACAGCTCCCACTGTCCCAGGCTGCTCCAGCCCCAGTGTCCAACCTGGCCTGGGACACTGCCAGGGATCCAGGGGCAGCCACAGCTGCTCTGGGCCAGGAGCTCAGCACCCTCACAGTGATGCAGAATTAAACACTGATAATTCATTCCCTGGTTCTTGGTCTCTACAGAATCTGGAAGCAGGATGATGGAGGTCCCTGCCATGCAAGGAGATGTAGGGATTGTAAATCTTAGTTTTCCAGAATGGGTTTTAAATCTGCTTATATGTTTCTTTTAAAAATTTTGAAAATAGGCTCAAATATTTCCTGTGTCACTGTTTTAAATAAGATCCTCCAGCAGTAAATCCTGGCCCTTGTTTAGCACTTGATATTGCTGTAAGAAACTCTCATTTCACATGTGAAATGCAACCTGCATGGAAAAAAAATCTTCTTTCACCAACATGATGAAAAGTAGAATGACTACTTGGTATTTTTGGCACTGCACAGGAGGAAAAGGTTGCTTGGTAAATAAAGGCTCATGTATCTGATTAGCAGCAAAATACAGCTGATGCCTACACTAATATTGACCTATTCAATCCCATTTAATGCTGGAATTTGACTGTTAGGAGAGACACTGAAATATCTGTGTGCTAACCAGCGAGGTCAGGAGCTGTACTGGGACACCATCAAAACTGCCTGCAGGAATGGTTTGGTTTGGGGTTAGTTAGGAGATCACTGAGGGCTCACACCAATGTCCACAAAACTCCTCAGTCCCCACTGAAACACACGCTGAAAACAGCAGAAGTTTTTCCTAACACAGCGTTGGGTTGAAGTGGAGGCAGATCCCTGAGCCCAGCCCTCTCTCAGAACTGTGTGAAAAATTGTGAGAGTGAAAAAGAGGAGAAGCAGAGAGAGAATCCCTTTGTCATGGTGCTCCTCTCCAGACCTAGGCTGGACAATGAAACTTTATAACAAAACTTCAGGTGAATCCACCCACAGGTTTTGAAAGTGGCCTGACTTATCTGCTCCTTTAACTGCACTTTTGATGGCAAATAGATCACGATTCCAAACTCTGCCAGGCTGAATTCAGAGGGAATAAAGCTGCAGCATCCCTGGGTCCCTCT